GGTATATAGTTTTCGACAACGTCGATACACAGATTCTACGCTGCTTCAACGCATCAAGGATGAAATGGGTTATGAGGCAGCTACTAACAAACGACCACAGCCCACAACTACGTCTCTAATCCTACAACAAAGCAAAAGACGCAAGCATAGAGCATTAGTTCCAAGGTAAGATATACAACTAAAGGCAAGGTGCTAGAAAGAAGCTAATTGTTACATATGATAACAGTCTTAATCCACAGACACCAGCCACTTTGCTACCGTTTTTATCAGGTATATCTACTAGCACAGCACAGCAGACGACAGCAGCAAGCGCTGAACCTACAGTTGCTATCCGGCCACCATCAGAAGATAGAAATAGCTCTTCTACGACGCATCACCTTATTAATATATCAGGCAGCAACACGCTTGATACGCCAGAGAACATAGTGATGCAGATACCAGAGAACCAAGGCAGCAATCGCATCAATAGAGCTCGCGTCGCTCAAACACCCAGCAGCCAGCATGAAGAAGGAAGCGAAGACAACAACCAACAACGACTGCAACACCAAGCCGCTGCCACTGCCAGGGAAAGAGTTAAGCCAATACAAATAGAACTGGGCTCTGTTGCGCAGCCAAGCCCATCACCATGCAACAGTCGATCCTCTTCAAAGCAAGTTGCCTCTCCGCCAGCCGCTACAATACCAACCCCGCAAAGAACAGCGTTGCCCAAGCACAGAAACACCAACACAATACGTGAAGAGCCAGCTCGCGTATTGCCCAAAATACAGCATACTGGACAGATACCAGCGCGTCTTCGGAACCTGACAGGCGCTAGAGCAGGGGGGAGGCCGACACCAAAACAATAAACGGCATCTAACGAGCTTTCGGCAAATGTATTGCTGATATACTATGAGCTGTTTTTTATTTGCCGAGATGAGGTAGCTGCAAGACCGGGGTATATGGGTAAAAGCGTGCAGGGGTCATATAGGGTAATGGGTGTTTAGAATTCTACTCGAGATAGGGTGAGATATTTGAAGAGAGTTGAGCTTTAGAATATTGCATTCTTAGCAAATAGTTATTCAATTGAGAAATACTAGACAAAACAATGGAAAAGGGAAGTAGAACCTCGCCAATTCTACTGGAAGATCTCGGAAGAGAATTTGACACTTCAGATGATGACTATACAAACAACCAGACGTCAGACGACGAATATAACCAACAAATCGACTCAGATACTATTTTAAATGAATGCTCTAGTCTAGAGCTTCATGATCGATCCGAAGAAATACACTTGGATACAATATATACCCAGGCTGATGCAGATATCGTCGGCAGAGTGGCAAGATGGCACATAAACCAACGCTTTGGGGAACAGAGCATATCTTGTACGCCAAATAGTTCTCCAGATATCGTATTATTAACTGGTATATAGGTCCCAGATTCATCTTAAACGTGGAAGCAGAGTCTTTTCATGGGAAAAAGGCCATCGAGATGATGCATCGACAGATCAGCCTAGACTATGGCATAGAGCAGGACGGCAATTCGCGACACGTACAAGCAGATGACATAATTATACCTGAATTCTTTCTGGACTATATCTGTATCATTGGGCTGCCGATGAAACCCATAAGCAAGCAGAATAGCCATTTCTTCGACAATGTTGAGCTATCGCTGCGAGCATGGCATTCTCCCTACAGCAACAAGCACAGCCCAAGCTTGCCATTCTCCATCGCTGGCCGTACATTCCGTCTTGCTATAGCAGCAAGCCGAGAACATTGGTTTGTAGTAATGCATCCGAAACCAGGCATTACCGCGCGTAACAGCACAGATAGACAGCTAAAGACACGAGCAACAGCCATGGCTAGCCACCACGCAGAAGCCATGGCATCCTACATCCACGACGTGTTTGCGAGCCCTGGGCTTTCCAGTCTAGGCGTCAACGACGAATGGACACTGGGGAACGAGCGTAGCAAGAAGCTCTCCATGAGCAACTGGAGCCTGTTCCAGACGGTCTTTATGGAGGGCTGGGATCTGTTCTTTAGCCGATATACATACGACGTATTCTGGACGGAAAACGAGCCATGCTTCCACGCATATGACTATGGAGCAAATACTATGATTGAGGTTACAGAGGAAATGCGAGAAATGCCGATACATGATACCGATAATACCGACCCAATCAAACACGAGGCTACATCTGGCTGGCAGAGCCCAGACCAGGCATCTAACAACCCAAGCCCCTCGAGAGCGACGCGAGGCGAATCGACAGCAGACGATATAGAAATAATATCTATTATCAATGGGTCGACTATGGAGAATGCAGAAAATCCCCAGGAAACGCGTGATAGAGTGCCCCTACGCGACATTACATATGCTGGAGGGCTTCAAAGCCTGCAAGATGAGCTGGATAGCCGATATGAGCTAGCTAATATCAGTAGCATCTCGTATGCGCTTGCAGCAAATTTGCATTGCATTGAAGGTCAAGGTTTGCATGAAGGCGACATTG